CCCACCTGCCAGCAGGTGCTCGCACATGGTGATGTCAGCAGCCACCAGGCTCTGCACGCTGCCCAGGACGATGACTTCCCCTCCCTGCAAGCCGTTGCCAGGACCCTCACGTAGCTCCCACTGAGTGAGCAGGAGTGGCCACACCCACGAGCCTCCTTTCTCCCTCGTCCTCCTGGGCTGCCAGGCAGCCAGGTAAGGCCCTGGTTAGGCCACCTGCTCAGGCCCCTCGGTTGGCTGGCCTGCCAGGGGTCACAAGGACAGCCCACCCCGCTGTGTCAGCACCCTGTCAAGCAGGAGTCCATTTGGTGTCCTCCTGGGAACTGGGCAAAGAACCCTGCGTCAGTGGCGGGCCAGTCTTGGTCTGTGTCTCATGCTTTTGGAAGGTGCCAGGGTAGCAAAAGGCTGGGATGCCGAGACCTGTCTGTGCTGTCAGAGCCAGTGGCCAGATCTGGGACCTTCGGAGCCTGAGGGCTGCAGCACCATGGCTCCCAAGCCTGAAGCTGTGGGTCCACTGGTGCTGGAGTCAGATGTTGAGTGTGTCGTGTAAACAGTTGGCTGTTTTGTGATTCAAGAACATGCAGGATTAAAAGCAGACAAAATTGTGTTACTTGAAGTTAAATCTTTCTATGAGACAAGCTGAATCTGGAATCTCACATTGCCTCTGACCTTTTATAAAAGTTTATCTTCAAATAAATTTATTTTGCAATAATGCACATAGCTGGTGTCCGGAACTTGTCTGCCTTCTGAGGTCGCCCAACAGCAAGGGGAACTCTTGAGTCTTCAGACGCCACAGTTCAGGTGGTCAGCTAGTGAGCACTGGGCCTGTAGGGAAGAAGGCCCGTGGGGAAAGCTGGGCAGCTGGACTTTGCTCACAGGAAGCAGCAGCCAACCTGGGGCCCTGCTCCTGGAGTATTGGCACTGCCAAGTCTTCCATGAATGGACACGGCCATGCTTGGACCCACACTTTATACCCAGTAAAACTATCCAGAATGTGGGAGGCATTCAGATACATGGTTTATATCCATCGATGGGTGAAAGGGCCACTAAAGATGAACTTCAACAAGAACAATTTGGAAACAGTGGGAGCATATCTGAAATACTGCAAGAAAATAATTTATGCTTATTTATTTGGATCTATTGGGTTGTCGGAAAAGTCATGACACATTTTTGCAGCAAAAAACAGAAAAAATACGTCATGACTTTTCCGACAACCCAACAGTATTTTGGAAGGAAACCAGACACACACTGAAATCTCCCCTTTCTGCCCCAAACACATATAAATTGAAAAAACTTTGAAACACATAGCCATATCCAAATAAAGCAAAGGAAGTATCCTCAGATGAGAAGGAATTTTTCTAAAAGAAGCACGAGGGGGTATCCAAGGTGATGAAGGGGCCAAAGTCAGTGGCCTGTAGAGGGGTCAGGTGAGAGCCACATGGCTTCACTGCCACTGCCTACTTGAAGCTGAGGACGGTCCTGAACAGTGCTGCTTGCCCACTTGTGGCTGGGACTGGAATGATGCCCCTGGGTAATGGCTGTGCTCAGGGCCCCCTAAAACAGGAGAGCCTCCACCCTCTTCACCCTTCATTGGGCTGCCAGGCTGCAGAGAGGCCACCTGCATTTCCCACCACACAGAAGTGGGAAAGGGTATCATAGCTGATGCCCTCTGCAGACCTGAGCACAACCACCTTACAGAAGAGTAATCTAGGAACTGCAATAGCTTGTTAACAATATCAAAAATATCTATTCTTAAGAAGCAAAACGAATAATAATACTAGGCCACACTTAAGTAGTTCTGGCTGTATGAGCTCTTTACACATGTTAACATGTGTTCACACATGTTATCACCCCACCCTATGTGACAGAAACTATTATTATCCTTTTATAGAAGGGGAGCCTGAAGCACAGACAAGTTGAGAGACTTGCCTAAGATGACCAAGCTTGAACATGGCAAAGCCAGCATTCCAGCTCCAGAGACGGTTCTTAACTGCTTCACTTAATCAGGAGGTTACTAACCAATTAGAAACCTTAGAAATGAAAAACTGAGATAAAACTCCCAATAGTTAGGTTCAAAAGTAAACAAGACCAAGTTGGGAAAATCTCCAAAGAGGAGTTGGTCATAGAAAGCAGCTCTGGAAGCCATATGGTACACCTGATGGGGGTCCCAGGAGCATAAGGTGGTGAGAAGGGAACATCGGGAGAAATCATGACTGCTTTTTCCAGGCACTGGACAAAGATAAAACACAAAAACGAAACAAGGTAATTTTTTAAAAAGCCCCATCTAGGGGCCGGCCGAGTGGCTCAGTTGGTTAAGAGCTCGCTCAAGAGTTTGAGCTCTGAGCAACAGCGGTTCAAGTCCAGCCCGAGCTGAGCAGTCGCTGAGCTGCCAACAGGTAGCAGGATGGCTCAGCTTAAAAAAAAAAAGCCCCATCTAGGGCCGGCTGAGTGGCTCAGTTGGTTAAGAGCTCGCTCAAGAGTTTGAGCTCTGAGCAACAGCGATTTGAGTCCCGGCCCGAGCTGAGCAGCCGCTGAGCTGCCAACAGGTGGCAGGAT